GACCTACTGGTTTCTATCTCGGTGACATCTGGTGCTACCTACATCTCCCACCTCCTTCGTCTCTCCTCCCACCTCTCATCTGTGTATGTTTGTACAGGGCCTGAGCATCGTCTGTGCTTGGCTCAGACCCCAACATCTCACGAATGTTTGTGTGTGGAGTGATATCTCTGTGAATCAGTCTATGTGAGTCAGTCCATTATCAGACTTCCGCTGCATACATGCTCATCCTATATTGGTTGATCTTTGGTTTTTGCCCCATACTCGTTGAAGTATTCGCGAGTTTGCAACAGGTGGAACCGCATTCTGCTGTTGGTTGTGCCGAGGCAAGCACCGATCATCATAATTGCACATTAGGTTACCGGTGAGAAATCTGTGGTTGGGGGCAGCATTTATGAGGTACGTTGCTCTCTTCCTTATCTACCCTCTTCATCTCTTCTTACCGTGAGGAAGTGAGTTCTGTCTTGAGAGTCCTCTCGATGTGAGGTGTCGCGAGCGCTCAACCTTGAGAGTCGACATTCTTCCTAGGCAGCAAGCTGCTGGGAGACGGGCGAAGCCTCTGAAGAGTCCTGGACGAAGCACTCGGGTCACGGTCACCATGCCAACCCGCTGGGACTAGTACACGCATGCTTTGCCGCAAGTCCTTAGTTCTGTTGCTTGCGCAATAGAGGCCACGCAGGGCATGCCAGCCCTTTCCGACATACGCTTTCCAGACCGTCTCTAAATATTTTTGGCTGGGGACTCGGACTTGAATCTGGCTGTGATCGTCGTCCTGTCTACGACGTTAAATAATTCCTGAGGAGATGGGGGCTCTCCTTAAATCCCTCCTGATCAGCCAGATCAACCGGGTGTAAGGCTCGTTACATGCGAGGGTAAATAAAAGTGCAGGGGCTGGCATGTTCGGCGTTGACTTGGGGAACAAGGGTGGGCCGGATTGCACACCTTCAGACACGTTGCTCAACCAGATGCTCAGGAACGTTGACACAAAGTGACCACTCAAGAAGGATACAGAAGGAGGGGGGATTCCTGTAACTGCTCGCAGTGGCAGTCAACAGATAATCTGCCATCAAGCATACATCTCCAACAGGAGATATTATTTTTATTTTGTATTATCTATTTGTTACAGACTTGACTAACAACTGACAGACAGCTACAGACAAATTAGATCTTTGCTGTATTGCAATCTGTTCTAGGGTAATCTAAAAATAGATTTAATATATCCTGTAGGACCTGACATTAGTTGTTACTATATCACCTAACTGTTTCTGTTCCATCCGACTGAATTTAATTGTGATTTATAATCGGTTGTGTGTCAGGCTAAGGTAGGATTCAGTGTTGATTCTAGTTTAGATCACACACACTGTAGCTCACAATTGATGCAAGCACTAGTGAGGAGGAGTTGTTAGTGGACGACCGTAGCACTACTCGCGGGACTGCCCGAAGTCGACCCTTGACATTCTTGGAGTTAGGTCCAGGAGACGAGAGAAGTTTGCCGAGGGAGGCTAAAGAGAGAGCAGCGGCAAGGACAGTGAGGAAAGTTGAGGATAGTGCTAGGGCTAGAGTTTCAGCTAGCACCGGTGCAGCCATGGCTACTTCATCTATGTCGCAAACCTCTTCACAGTCCACTTCGTCAGGTGTCAGTCAGAGTGGTACTCATGGGTTCACTAGTCAAATTGTTGGCTTGCGAGTCAGCCAGCAGACTCAACTCACGCCGGAGGACTTAGAAATCCAGCAAGCAGAAGAACTTCAGGATGAGCTACAGCGGCAGTTGGACGAGGCGGCAGAGAGGAGAAGAAAAGCAATCCTGAGGAAAGCTAGACTAAGTAGTAGAAGAGGAGCTAGGCAGACTGGAAGGACTAGATGAGGCAGCATTAGACCCTGCTGGTCGTGTGCTGCGTAATGCCTTACTTTTAGTGGTTGAAGCGCAGAACGTCCAGCAGAAATTGCTGGCCGAATTGGTGGCAGGCCTGAAACAAATCCTGGCTGAACTTCAGGCTCCTCGCACAGCAGTGAGGCAGCCGCAGTTTGCTGTAGTTCCCCCTGCGGGTGCGGGTCCTTCATCGATGCCGCAACACACAGGGCAAACTTTCTCTCCTATGTTTGGCATACCCCCTCCTGGTGGTTTGGTAGCAACTAGTGGTCCGGTTCAAAGAGTCTCAGCCATACCATCCACGACAGTGGTAACTACAGTCCCACTGTCAAGCCAGGCCAAGGTTAGCGTGCAGCAGCCTGTTTCAGTGGCTCTGCAGCCGCTGCAGCAAGCCCCAGGGCCCATGCAGCCTATGCAGTGGATGCCTAAGATACCTCTAATGAGTCCCAAGCCCTTCTCTGGAGATAGGAAGAAGGAAGAGGACTTGGACACCTGGGTGAGGACTGTGCCTACTTATGTGAGGCACAAGCTCACAAGGCTAGAGCAAGAAGTTGTAGTGGCTGCCTCCTTTTTAGAGGGATCAGCAGCCCGCTGGTTGAATGGCTTAAGTGCAGCAGCAGGGCTACGGTCAAAACCTCGATGCCTGGGCATAGGCTCAGACATTGGAAGAGTTCGTACCGTCCGTGTATAACAGGTGGCATGACCCGCAAGGGGCTCAGAAGGCCACCGATGCTATCAACAACCTTTGTGCCCGTAGGTTCAAGGATGTTAGAGAGCTCACGGATATCGTGGAGCGACTACTCGTGGTACCTGGTGTGCGCTTTGACCAGCAGGTTCTCCTGACGAATTACCTAAGGTGCCTACCTGCAGAGGTAAGGACCAAGCTGGTTGATGAGGCCTATGTCGAACAGCACACCTTCGCTTCTTGTAGTAAGAAAGCTCTGGACATAGAGGCAAAGCTGGGATCTGCTCATAAGGCATCTCATGATGGTAGAAAGAGACTACCCCAAGACTGGAAGAAGAAGGGTCAGTTAATGTTCGTTGACCACGATAGTCAAACGACTGAGATTGACGATTTCCCTGACCTTGGGGAGTTGACAGAGCACGATGGGGCCAGTGAGACTTCGGATGGGGGAGTCGTGGCACCCATTAAAGAAAAGGCTAGGGGGACCGGGAAGAAGAAGGTAGTACGGACCACGGGTCAGGGAGACCAAGGGACACCCGCATGGGTGAAGATTGGTTTGGATTGCGAGGTGTGGAGGGACCGAGTTGCCAGGGGCACATGCATGAAATGTGGCAACTATGGCCACACGTCCAGGACTTGCCGCAGCAGCAAGGTCTCCACGAAGGTAGCCTCACCAACGGTGGTGGGCTTATCTTCGAATCCTGGGAGTGCTTCTGCGAGCAGCTCACAGGGAAACACCTCGGGCCAGTAGGAGTGTTAGTCGCTCTTACTCGTGCTGAAGTGGTAACGTTGCCTTCCCCACTTCACGCGTTGCCCAAGGCTAGTGACCCACGCATCGCCCCGCAGACACATTCAGACCCACCGATGCTCTGTTCGAGAGATGTGTCTGAGGCCCTAGAAGAGTTGGCCAGGGAAGGACCCCATGGACTCTTGGGCGATGATCAGTAGAGGTCCAAAAGGTGAACATTTCGTGGTAGAAGTAGATGTAGGTGGCCGCAAGGTTGGCGCCTTCGCAGACATAGGCTCTACACGAAATTTCATCAGTCGTGCTTGTGTGGATAGACTGCGCTTAGGGGACCAAGTGCAGCAGCTTAGCAGAACTGTAGCTTCTACGCTAGCCAACAAGCACCAAATGGTTGTCAAAGACTATGTCAAGGACGTAGCCTCCACCTTCTCCTATGGAGGAGGGGGAGTGATCCATAAGATCTCCTTCCTGGTGAGCGACGAACTGCCATTCGATATGCTACTAGGCATGTACAACCTCGAAGTCTCGCAACCTCAGTTCGACTAGGATAGAAAGGTGTTGATCCACAAATTGCCCAATGGTAGAACTGTTAGATTGCTGAAGTATAAAGCTAGCAGACTAATAGAAAACTACGGGGGTATGTGCGCTTCATCCTTCTATAACTACTATAAGCAGAATCAAGAGGAGGGCATGTATCTAGTCTTTGTCTCTGAGAAAGGGGAGGTCGTTAAAACACCCCCAGAGATAGAAAGAATCGTCACACAATATTCAGACCTTTTTAAGGAGCCCACAGGCGTGGTGGAAAGGGAGGTTGTACATGCGATAGAGATTGTCCTAGGTAGCAAGGTGCCTAGAGGACGAATCTATAGGATGTCTCCCGAGGAGTTAGATGAGCTTCGCCGCCATCTCAAAGAGCTCACAGAGAAGGGATGAATACGGCCTAGTACCTCCCCTTACGGTGCGCCAGTCTTATTTGTCCCAAAGAAGGGAGGACCATTAAGGATGTGCATTGACTATAAGGGCCTCAATGCCATCACCGTTAAGAACGTGGAGCCCCTACCCCGCATCGACGACCTCTTGGATAGAGTGCAGGGATGCCGGTACTTCACAAAGATAGATCTGAAGTCCGGATACCATCAAATTGTCGTTAGACCTGAGGACCAGCACAAAACCGGATTTCAAACCACGTACACGAGTGTACGAGTTTGTGGTGATGCCTTTTGGCATATGCAACGCGCCTGGTACATTTCAGCATGCGATGAACCGGATATTTCACGAGTACTTGTACAAGTTTATCGTCGTGTACCTCGACGATATTCTTATCTTTAGTAGGACTGTAGAGGAGCACGCTGAGCACTTGAAAACAGTGCTAGGTCTCCTAAGACAGCACCAGTACAAGGTAAACTTGGATAAATGCGAGTTTGGTCGCACCAAGATCTGGTATCTGGGTCATGAAATTTCAGCAGATGGATTGAGGCCGGAAGATGCGAAGGTGGCCAGCATACGTGACTGGCCTAGACCTCAGACTGTTACTGAGGTCATATCGTTTTGGGGATGACGGGCTATTATCGTCCGTTTGTGAAGAACTACAGTACTATAGCTTCCCCATGAACAGATCTAACTCGACTTGACACCCCTTCGGAGTGGACTGAAGAGTGTTAAACAAGCTTCAAGAAATTGAAGTATGCTCTAACACACTACGAAGTTCTCAAACTTCCGGATCCTGACAAGCCATTCATTGTGACCACARACGYTAGCCAATATGGCATAGGCGCGGTCCTTGCGCAACAAGAAGGGCCCAAGTTGAGACCGATCGAGTATATGAGCAAGAAGATGCCATCTCAAAAGTTAGCTAAGTCCACGTATGAGAGAGAGCTCTACGCACTATACAGAGCGCTAGTCCATTGGAGACACTACCTCCTAGGAAGATTCTTCTATGTGAGGTCGGACCATGAGATTTTGCGCTGGATTAAGACACAGCCTGTACTGTCAGACGCACTCAAGAGATGGATTCAAGTGATAGACATGTATGATTATCAACTTGATCCTATCAATGGTACGTATAACAAAGTGGTTGATGCACTATCACGCAGGGCAGATTATCTGGGCGCGCTAGTCACTGAGTTGGGCATATCTAACGAACTCACTCGATCGCTGGTGGAAGCTTATCAGAGAGACCCAATCATGTCAGAAATCATCCGTAGATTCCAAGCAAAGGACAAGAAGACTTTGGATGAATTTACGATGGTAGATGGCTTGTTGTTCCTTGAGAAGGCAGGGAATAAAAGATTGTGTAGCTAATAGCGAGTCTTTACGTAGTTTGTTTTTAGGAGAATGTCATGATGCAACTAGTCATTTTGGCTATAGAAAGGCATAAGTGAACTTAGTGCAAAGCTTTTGGTGGTCTTCTATGTTGGAAGATGCAAAACGTTATGTTGAAACCTGCCAGGTTTGTCAAAGGGACAAACCAAGGACTCAGGCTCCGCTTGGGTTGATCAAACCCTTGCCGATCCGTGAAGGACCAGGCCAGAGTGTGTCTGTGGATTTCATGGATACCCTTGTGACCAGCAGGTCAGGAAAGAGACACATCTTTGTCATAGTGGACCGTTTTACCAAGTACGCCAGATTGATCGCTATGCCTGAAACCGCTGAAACTGACTTTGTCATCAAACTCTTCATGGATAACTGGGTAAGGGATTTTCGTCTACCTACGTCTATTGTGAGTGATAGGGATGTCAGATTCACGAGCGAACTGTAACAGTCTACTGCTGAACAAATGGGCACAAAACTCCAAATGACTTCAGGAAATCATCCTGAGTCAAATGGTCAAGCGGAACAAATGAACCTAGTACAGCAATTGCTTAGGCACTATATCAAGCCAAGTCAGGACGACTAGGTCGAGAAACTACCTCTCGTTGCCAGCCTGTACAACAACGTTGTGCATAGTACTACCGGCATGACTCCCAACCAACTGCATCTTGGTTGGAAGCCTCGAACCGCCCTTGACTTTCTGCTACCAGAAAGAGAACCCACTGCAGCACCCGGCAGCATAGAGTTCGCTGTCAAGTATGAACAGATGCTGCAGCAGGCCGTTGAACATATCAGGAAATCTCAGGAAGCAATGATTGCATCTGAGAATAAGCATAGACGGCCTTCTAACGTTCAGGTAGGCGAGAGAGTCTGGATCAAGTCCGCTGAGCTTGGGCAGGAGTTAGGCATATCTCGCAAGCTAATGCCACAGTACTTTGGGCCCTGGGAGATCTTAGACATTGTAGGAGATCAACCAGACGGTCCTTCATATGTAATCCGCATCCCACCTCACTTGCGTACCTACCCTGTGTTCCATGCCTCTAAGATAGCACCCTTTGCTGCTACTGAGCAGTTCCCTTCCAAAAGATCAATGCTGCCCCCAACCATGGATGGCGAAGTGGACATTGACCAGATCGTCGAGCATCGAGTGATGCCTGTTCCTCGACCATCACGCAGAGGGCGACCTCCTAAACCGAGAATGCAGTATTGTGTGAGCTTCAGACATCATCTGGATCCTAAAGAAGACCGGTGGTTCACACGAGAAGAACTCGTGAGAACAGCACCTCAAGTGATCGCAGGCTATGAAAGAGCCCTCAAGGGGAAGATGCCCGCAGAATAAGAGACTTCTCAGAGGACTCACGAAGTAAAGGAGGAGGGAATGCGAGGATCAGGGTCCTCGGTAGGCCTATGGGGCCCTGCTTGCAGCATTACCCGCCCTAAGTGAAGGCGGAGATGCCCGCCCTAAGTGAAGGCGGGCCTGGCTTTTTGCAAGAGGCCCTCGACTGTCAATTTCATATTTGGGTCCAGGCAGTTGCGACGCGCCAGTTGGTTGAGAGAAACACAGGCCGACCAACAAAGACATTTCCACGGCCCTCTGGGCCTTTCCAAAGAATGCGGGCCCTGGGCATGATTCGCAGGCTCATACAGAGACAATTGGGCGCCCAACCGAACGAGGCCCAGCAGCCCAGTAGCTGCTGTACACAGGCAGCTTCCTGGGGCCTTCCGGAAGCTTCTGGGCCCAGGCCAGTGCAGCCAGGCTGCGCGAGCAGGCCAACTCTTTCCATAAAGGAAAGAGCTCGGCCCTGGCTGCCCCATTCAGGCACTCGCATGCTGGCGGCAGCGCTGCTGGAGCTATTGCTCGTAGGCTGCTGCTAGCGCTGAGAGGGGAGGTGCAGCACGTGCGGTCGTGCAGAGGAGGAGGGCGCTGCTGAGGGCAGCGCCATAGCCCAGCCACCATAGCTAGTGGGCTTGGACTACACTGAAGCGCAGGGGTGGTCTTCAGGTGAAACAGAGGACAGACGTGGGTGTAGTCAGGGGATAGGTGAAGGATGATGATGATGATGATGTGACTGCACTTACCTTGTATTGGCGATGATCTGCATGGGCGACATCTTCAAGTACTTCGGGCTGCCGCTGATGTCAACAGTTGCATTGTCATTTCGTAGTCTGTAGTAGCTGTGTAGGAGGAGGCTGGGCGCTGAGCGCCAAGTGTGAGTGTAAAGGAACTGGACTCTTGTGTTGAGAGGAGAGAGTATGCTCTCCATAAACATTGGTTTTCAGTGCTACGAACCTCCATTGGTGTATTATTGGTGCAATGCTGCTCTCTGGACATGGTGTGACTATTTGGCTTTCAATGTGATGGTGTGATCTGGAATTGTCATCTCGCTGTTGCTTATTTACCTTGCATTTTGCAATGCTACAACACAAGATTTTTAGTCCCATGGGAAAGAAGGGCACATGGGCAAGACGGATTAGACTCGATTTGAAAATAAAAATATATTGTTCAGGCACCCTTTGGTCTGGATCAGATCCGGATGTACAGACCCAGTTCGAACAGTCTGGTGTCCGCTGTCCGGATGGTCCAGTGCCTGGGTCGACGGTAGCCATGCGCTACAAATGTCTCTTCAGATGCCATGGGCAGACAAGAAGGGTACACCCACCATCCACAAGAGCATAAACTACAGTGTAAACCATACCTTCCTCCCTCATGGCAACACTCCGCTTCAGCTGGTCTATTTCCTGTTGGAGTGCAGACCCCCGCTCCTCTGCTTCCCGAATCACGTCTTCCGAATCATTCAGCATTCCAATTGATTCTCTACGCACTCTCTGCAGCTCCTGTTCCTTCAGTGACATGGCCTCCCTCAAATCCCCAGCAACACGCTCAAGAACCTGCAGCTGTGATTTCAGCTTTGATGCATCCTCCTCCCTCTGCATCGCATCCCTCTTTTGCACCTCAATCTCCCTCTCACGCAGAGTGGCTACTTCAGTCAGTTCCTCAATCTTGCCTACAAGTTCATCCACCTGTTCACTGAGCTTCTCGGCCTCGTTCTTCGCCTCAGTAAGCTCATGAACGCAGGACTCTTCCTTGGCTTTTGCATCCTCCAGGGCGCTGCGCTCCTTAGCCATCTCATTCTGCGCATTCTCCAATGCCAGTTCCAACTTCGTCACTCGCAAAGCTTGACACTCAAGCTGCCAGACCGTTTCCATCTGCCTTTCAAGCCGGACCTCCCTCTCAGCAACTTCACCCTCTAACCTCTCCACTTCATTTGATAAGCGCTGCACTTCTTCCCTCGCAGACACAAGTGCATCCCTTGCTCTCCTTACCTTCTCGTCAAGGGTGTTCTTCTCTCTCTCCGTCTTCTCAAACTCACCCTTCAAGCGATCCATTTCTCTACCTCCCTGATCCACAAGCTTTTGTAACTGCGTCTTCTCTCTCTTCAGAGCAACAAGACGATGCCCAGCACTGATCAATTCTTCTCGTAGCTTGGCCAGGTGGTCTGCATTCTCTGTCTCAACCCTCTGTACCTCTTCTAATCTCTTCTCCAAGCTTTCCCTTATGCGCTTTAACTCCTTGCACTCGCTCTCCAAGGCATCCCTGGCCCCCTTGACTTCCTCGCACTCTCCTGCTCTCTCATCCCCCCACCTCCTTGCTGCCACATCATCAGCCTCTACTTTCTTCTTTTCTTCTGCCATCGATTTGATAATGACATCCTGCTCCTTGACCATATTCTTTACTGCATCCAGTTCATTCACCATCTTCTCCATCTCCTGCACTCTCCTATGCAAAATGCCAATCTCTGTATCCTTCTCTCGTGTTTCCTTCTCCAGGTGTGCCCTTGCCTGATCAATGGCTTTACCTTTCTTTACTGCCTTTTGGAGTTTGTCTCTCAGCGTATCCAGCTGCCTAGCCTGGTCTGCGCACTGCTGCTGCAACTTCTCCATTTCCACCCCTTCTGTCTGAGCTTGAAGCAACCGCTGCCGTATTTCTTCAGAAATTGCCATGCCCCTCTCTTGAACCATGCCTCCCGCTTCACTTCTTCGTTTCGCCTCTTCGTTCAACCTTCGCCTATCCTCCTCTGAACCTTGCAATCTGAGCTCCACTTTTCTGACTTCCTCTTGAGCCCATTTATTCTGATTTTCCAGTTGCTCCTTCACCTCTTCCTCCCTTGTCCAACGTTCAACTTGCAACTGGAGCAACTGCTCCGTTACTGCATCTAATCTCTCCTGGTGCTCCTGTATTTCCCTCCTCTTGTCATTCAGTTCGCTCAACAGATTCTCCTTATTGCACTTGTCCTCCACTAATTGCTGCTCCAGATATATCATCTTCTTTGCCAGTTCTTCACGAGTGGACTCGCTTTCAGAAGTCTTTGCAGCAAGACTTGAAAGTTGTGCCACAAGTTCCAACCGTGCCCCCTCCTTCTCCTCTATTAGCTTTTCCCTCTCAGCTAGCCGCTCCCTCAGCTCCTCCGACTCTCTCTGTACCGCTCGCAGTTCCTGAGTTTTCCTCTCAGCCTCCTCTTCCCGCATAAAAGCTTCTTTCCCCTCCTTCGTTGCTTCATCCCTAACTCTTTGGAGCTTCTCTGCCAGTTCGTCCTCTCGCACTTTCCCTCTCTCCAAATCACCCCTCAGTCCCTCCAACTCTGCCTCTACCTGGTTCACTCTCTTCTCTTTCTCCAGCAGCATATCATTTAACCTCCCCACCTCCCCCTCCAGGGCCTTGATAGTTTCCGTGTATCTCCCCAGCTCCTTTTGCAAGCCATCCATGTTCTGTTTGTCGTGCTCACTCTCTTTATGCATACTTTCCACTTCTCTCTCCATAATTCCTGCTCTCTCCTGCTCCTGTCCCAGCTGCATTGCCAAGATCTCCACCTGCCTCCGCAGTCCTCCCAGCTCCCTCTCGCGGACCTCCACTTCCATCTTCTTCCTCCCACTTTCTGCCTCTAGCTCCGACAACAGTTGGTCACCTCGCGCCTCCAAGGACACAATTTCTTCCTCTAAATGCTTAGCCCTCTTTGCTGCTGCCTGCAGCTCCTCTTCCCTCCTTTGCAGCACATCTTCCACCTCCTTCACCCTCTCCATGGTCTCTGCTTTCCCCTTTTCCAGCTCTTCCCTCATCACGTTCACAGCCTTTTCCCTCTTCTCTACCTCCTCTTTTAGCTTTGCAGCCTCTGCTTCTGCGGCCTGCACGGCACTGCTTCTCCTACTCATATCACCTTCTAACCTCTCCTTCATTCGTCCCATCTCAACTTCCTTCCCCAACAAATCTGCTCTCAGTCTTTCAACTTCCTCCGCCAAAATGTCAACTCGCTCATATGACCTCCGGAGTTCTTCCTCCTTCGAGGATACTTCTGCTGCATTTTCCTCCTTGATCAAAACCAACTCCTCCTCCAAATGAGCACATCGCTCCCTGACCGTAGCCAATCTTCCAGTAAGTTCCGCCACATTCTCCCTCTCCATATGCACTTCCGATTCCCTCTCTGTCAATTGCTGCTGCAGCTCCGCCCTGAGAGCTACCATGGATTCTTCTCTGCCTGCCAATCTCCCCCGGAGCTCAGCCACCTCACCCATCAACCTATCTACAACACTCCTCGCTTCCATGGCAGCAGCCACTTGATCTTCCATTTCTTTCCCCATCTCACGTCTTGCCTCATCCATAGCTTCTTCCTTTGATGCAGCAAATGCACTCAAACAATCACTTTCCATTCCCAACACCTCTACCCTTGCTTCTACCCTTTCGAGCTCGGCTTCTAAGGATGCGACTGCTCTCCTCTTCTCCTCCACCTCTCCCCGCATGTCTTCGAGCTCCCTCTCCCTCTCATCCAGCAAGGCATGCAATTTCGCCAGTTCAATTTCCTTCCCATTCATGGCTCTCTCCATATCTTTCAACACATCTCCTTGTTTACTCTCCCTGTCAACAACCTCGCACTTGGTTGTTTTTTCTCCTGCCTCTCCTTTCCTATCCTCAGCCAAGGTTACCCGACAGGCAGGGCCTCCTGCAGAATTGTTCAGGCGCATGGCTTCCATCTCCAGATCCATCTCTCTGATTCTCTGTCGAAGAGCCATGACCTCACTTGCATCCAAGAAACTCCCTCGCGTCTGTGAGCTGAGATCCTTATTCTCATCTCCCTGACCCGATCCAGATTTTACAGATGATTGTTCCATCATCGTCGTTGTGTTTGACCCTCCTTTCTCACACCCTTCACCTCCCTGTTGTGAGGAAACATCCCCTTCTTTCTCTGTCTGTTCTGTTAGAGCACCGAAGTCTGCAGCAGTAGCAGAAGCGACAGCTTTCAAGCTCCCGAGCTCATCATCAAGCTTCTTCGCTCTCTCCTCTGCATCCTCTTTCAGTAACTTCATTTTCTTGGCCATCCTGACTGCCATCGACAGCTTCTCCTTCAGTGCTTCCAGTTCCTCTTCTGACTTATCGACATTGTCTCGTGCAACGACTACCTCCATTTCCAACTCCCTGCATCTTTCCTCCCCAGATCTTTCTCGGTCAACAAGCTCATTGATCTGGTCATTCTTTCCCGCAAGCGCCACCCGATACGCGGCAAGCTCTTCTTCAAGATGCCTCGCCCCTTCTTCTTCCCTTTCCACCCTCTCCCTCAAGCCTTCCAACTCCCACACGAGTTGTTCCTCTCTTGCCTGAGACTCTTCCACCTGGGATCTCAAATCCCTTATCTCCTCCGCACATCTCTCTGCCTCATCCATTGCTTCAGAAGCCCTCTGCCGCTCCCTCTCCAAGTCCACCCCAAGACATCTCAATCGAATTTCCACATCTCCCCTGGCTTCCTCCACCCTCTCCATTACCGCTTTGAACCGCTCCTCCATCTCGGCCATTCTCAACTGTGCCTCCATCTTCTCCCGTTCTGCAACCCCCAGCCTTCCCTCCAATCCCCCAGCTCTCTCCCTCTCTCTCTGCACTACTTCCGCTAGCGCCTCCATGTCTGCCCTGACCTTGGCCAACTCCTTGTTTTTGTCTTGCAGAGCCACAACCGCTGCCTCCCTCCCACGTCTCTCTTCATCCTTTGCAGAAGCCAGCTCATCCACCTCTGCCACTCGTTCCATCAAGTTAGCCTTCAACACTTCTCGCTGTTGTACGACCTCCTTTCCCTTTTTGATGGCAAGGCTTAACCTTTCCCTGACACCAATGACCTTCTGCTCAGACTGCGCAAGTTCTCCCTTCAGCCGCTCTGCCTCTGCTCTAAATGCCTTGGTGTCCTCTTCCAGCTTCGCATTCAGGCTTTCCAGCATGTCGCTGAGCTCATCATTCTGCCTCTGCTTTTCACCAAGGCATTCCTGCAACCTCTCAACATCCCCCAAGGCCTCGTTGCACTCTTCTTGCACGTTCTGTGCTTTCTCTTTCCAGCCCTCATTTTCTTCTTTCATGCATTCCAACTCTCCCTTGAAAATCCTCAGATCCTTCTTCAGCGCCTCCACCTCTGCCGTTCTACCCTCAATCCTGCGCTCGCGATCTTCCACTTCACCCATCAATTGCCGTTCCAACTCAGCGGATTGTTTTTGAACAGACTTGAGTTCAGTCTCTGCCTCTCTGAGCGCACCCTCGAGACATTCAATTTTCCCAGATGCCTCTGCCAACACCCGCAAGCTCTTCATCTGGTGTTCCTCTGCCTCCTGCCTCAAGGCTACAGACAACCTGTTGATCTCCTTCTTCAGATCTTCAACTTGCTCTTCTGCCATGACTTTGGACTTTTCTCTCTCCTCCAACTCCGCTGTCTTGGAAAGCAGCGCCTCTCTGGCTCCCGCCATCTCCTGGTGAAGGTTCACCAACTCCGTCTCCCGTTCCTTCAACAGCTCTGTCATGTTCTCCACCTCCCGAACTGTCTTCTCTTTTTGGGCTTCCAGCATGTTATTCACGTTTTGCCTCAACTCCCTCTCTTCGTCCAGCAACACCTGCAGCTCTCTGACTGCTGCTACACTCTTATCCAGCTCCTCCTCGAGCCTCTCCACATTCCCTTCTTTTTCTCTCAAGTGGGAGAGCATCGATTCCTCAGAGCTAAACCGGAGCCTGATCTCTTCCTCCTTCGCAACCAGCGTTTCATCTAACGTTGCCAGCTCCCGTTTCATCTCGCACAGGCCCTCCTCCATACCCTTCACTCGGCTAGAAGTGGCATCTCTATACAACTCGGATTCTCTTCTCAACTTGTCCAGTTCTCTTCTGTGTGCCATGACAACTCTCTCAACAACAGGAAGCAGACTGTCTTCCTCCTCCGCATCCTTCTCCACAAGTTTTTCTTCCTCTGTCACCCCCAACACTCCCATCCTCATGAAACCCACACTGACCACCAGCTCCTTAACCTCTTCCGTCGCCGCCACAATGCTCTCTACAAGGTACTCCACCTCCACCTGTTTCTTCTCTATCATGAGTCCCAGTCGCGCAATCTCTTTATCTTTCACGTTCCGCGTCTCTCTTAGCCTCGAAAGCTCTTCCTTGTGTTTCTCGAGCTCCTTGCTTTGTGACTCAACCTCTGCCATCAGCACAACCTCCGCCTTTTCTCGCGCTCCAAGCCGGGTTTCAAGAGCATGAACCTCTTTGCGAAGAACATCCCCCTGGGCCTCTTGCTTGTGCAAGAAGCCAGCCAACCCCCTGAGTTCTTCCCAAAGCACTGAGGAAAGGGGACCAGCAGCACATTCCTGCCCATCAGCGACCAGCTCCATCTTTTCGGGACCATCATGCATCGCATCCTCCAACCCATTCTCAAGAACCTCAGAGAACTCTCTTGTCACTTCTCCTAACACCCTCAAGGGTTTCACCTCCCCATCGCTGCCTATGTCAGATGTCTTCCTATCGCCAGACAATGCCCTCACCTGCTGCAGCCAACACCCAGTCTCCGTCATTCGTTTCTCACTGGCCATCCTCAATGCTTCCTTCAGCAAGCTGCGCTCCTGCTCTGTTTCTCGTTGTAGTTCTTCCATAGCAGCCTTCTTTTGGAGGAGTGATAATTGTAACCGCATCCCCTCGTCCTCCGCATCTCTCCTCTGTTTTTCCTTCTCTTCCACTCTCTGTTCTAGCTCCATAAGCCTCGCGTCCAATTCAGTTACATTCGCCCAAGCCACTTGCGCATCAGCTCGCACCTGCTTCACAATCTCCAAGAGACCCAAAGCCTCCTCCTCCTTCACCCTCTTCGCTTCTTCCAAACCGTCTGTGAACTTTCTCAGCTCCGACACTTCGCATTGCAAACTCTCCTTCTCTTCTTCTATGAGGTCAAGCCTTTGTTGTTTCTCAGCAATCTCTTCCTCAAGCTTCCGCACCTTACCTTTCAGCTCGCCTGTTTCTGCAGTCCATCTCTCAGTTTCCTGAACAAGTCTGGCAACATCTGCAGACAAAGTTTTGACCTTTTCCTCCGCAGCAGTCTGCTCTTTGTTTTCCGTTTCTGCATAGTTTTGCATGTCCCCCTCCATTGCTGCCAGCTTCCCACGCAGCTCCTTAACGATCTCTTCCAATTCACGTACTCTTTTCCCCTTCTCCACCACCTCCTCACGCTGCAAGGCGTCAAGATGACTCTCCTCGTTCTCCTTCCTCTCCTGCTGCTGCTGCTGCTGGGGGGACGTCTCTGTTGTCAGCTCTCCAGGTTTCTCCATCCTCTCACTCTTGGACAGCATTTGTTTCGGATGCGCAGTGGGCTCTAAGGGTCCTATTGTTGTCCCTTCTTCCACTGTCATATTCATCGCCCGATACCTGTTTCCCTCTTCCATTAATCTTCGAACTTCAGCATCCAGGGCAGCACACTGGAGTTCAGCACGCTCAACTTGGTCACAAAAACCCTTTGCTTCCGCTATCTTCCTGTGAAGTTCTTCCTCCAACCGTCCCACCAACGTCTCAGATTCCAAAGACGTCATTTTGCTGGTCTCCACCTCTCCCTGCAATCTCCTGACCTCTGCTTCTGCCACTTCCAATCGCTTCTGGAACTCTATCCTATCCGCTTCCTCCCTCGAAGACATCACCTCCATCTCTCGTTCCTTATCCGAGACCTTCTTCTTCAACTCTGCCAGTAGAGCACTCGCTTCAATCGCTCTTGCCTTTGCCGTTTCGCACTCCTGAACTTGGCTCCGTGCCTCCCTCCTCAGTCCATCTAACTGCGATTGCAAAACCTCCATCTGCGATCGCATATTGCCTTTCAATTCCTCCAGTTCACTTTCCTTACCCCTCAACCTTTCCCGGAGTTCTGCGATCTCTGCCACAATCACCTCCCTCTCTCTCTCCAGATCTTCGGCCCCTCGAGACTTCAATTCCAACCTCGCCCCCAAGTCCTTGCACATCTCCCTTTCCTTTTCCAGAAGCTTCTCCCTGTCAGCCAGAGCAGCATGCGCACTGTCGGTCATGATCTGCACATTCGACATCTTCTCCCTCAACACCTCGCGCGCCTGAACCACCGCCTCTAACTCCTTTTCAACCGAGACCATTCTCTGACTTGCCTCCTCGAATCTCGTTCTCTCATTGACCATCAAATCTTCCAATTGCGCAACCTTAGCTCTCAACAATTGACGTTCCTGCGCCATCTCGTCCAGATCGTTGAGGAGCTCCGCTATTCTCCGATTTGCCTGCTCCGATCTGCCCCTCTCCTCCTCCACTGCTCTCTCTGCCTCAGTCAGCCTCTCATTCGCTTCCGACATCGCCAAGGTTAGATCCAAGACCTTTTGCCTTACGCACTCCAGGTCTCGATTGGCCTGTTCTACCTCCAACGCTTTCTCCGCCATCATTGTCTTCACTGCCATCATCTGCAACTCCAACTCCTCACATCGCTTCAAACTTAACTCTCTCTCTCTTCTTTCTGCGTCCAAAGAAAGCGTCAGCTCCTTGATCTTTTCCCCCACGCCCTCCCTTTCCCTAGACAGCACGTCAACCTGACCTTGAAGAATTGCACGCTCCCGCTTCGCTTCCTCTCCCATCCTCTCCTTTTGGAGCCTGAGCGATGCGATCTCCTTCTCAATATCGGCCAAACTTTCTCGCAGCTCTTTTGATGTTGATGTCTCCTCCTTCAGCTTCTGCTTTAACTCGTCCCTCTCACTGCCAATCTCCTCCAACCGTTCCTTCATCTTCCTGTTCAACGTTTTTCTGGTATGTTCTTGGGCCTCGAGCTGCTTCCCTTTGTCGTTAAGCTCCTGCTGTAGCCGTTCCAGCTGTGGAACCAGAGCGTTCCTCTCCTCCCTCATGCGTGAAATCTCCAAGTAGGCTGCCTCGGCTTTGCTCTCGGCTTTCCTCTTCTCCTCCAGAATCAACTTTTCCCTCTCCTCTGCCTCTCGCTCTTTCAGCTTCAGCCTCTCGGTCATAACAGTCAACTCCTCCTTGGCATTCGCAAGGTCTGCATACAACCTCCTGATTTCCTCCCTTTTCTCATTTCTCAGCGATTCCATTTCCTTCTCGTTCTGTGCCAATCGAAACTGCAGATGCTGTGCCGCCAGTTCAAGATCCTCTGCCCTCTCCTCCATCTTCTGCTTTCCTTCCAAAGCCTCTTCCAACTCCACCCTGAGATTCTCTACTCTGGTCTCAGCCGCATCCAGGCTCATCCTCAGCTGCGCAACTGTCTTCTCCGCCTCTGGCTCCTTCTTCGCCTCCTCGGCTTTCCAACCTAACTCTGTCACAAGGCCATCCAGTTCTCCTGCTTTCTCCTTCCATCGTGCTCTCTCCCCTTCCAGACGCTGCATCTCATCCTTGAGCAAATCAACCCTCTCGTTCATCTCTTTCTCCCTCGCTCTTAGATTTTCCCTCAAGTTGCCGATCACAGCTTCGAGCTCCGCAACCTTCTCCCCCCCCCATGCCCTCTCGTCAATCAAGTTCTCTACCTCGCTTTTTAAAGCAGAGACCTTTGCCTCCAAATCCGCCTTTTCCCTGTCCCTTTCTCTCCGAAAAGCCGCCATTTCAGCATCCCTCTCCTTCAGTTGCATTCGTAAATCCTCCAGCAGAGACTCCAACTGGACGGTTCTCTTCATCTCCTTCCCCTCCTGCTGCAGCTGCAGCTGCTGCTGCTGCTCACCGCCACGGTCAAGAATTCGCCCTTCCTGACCGGATGACGAAGCAGAAAAAATGTCCTCTTCCTCAACTTCAACCACTCTAGCCTCGTATTGCCACGCAGCAACCTCCCTCTTACTCCGTACCTCCTCTATTCTACCCTGCAATTCCTTCACGGCATTTCGAAGAGCGGCATTCTCTTCCTTCATGGCCTCCAACATGTCACTGCCCTGCGCTACAACTGCGCTCTCTGGCACTATCTTTTTCATTGTCGGGTTCGCATCTTCGCCCTCTTTCTTACCATCCATTACGCCCTCTTTTCCCAATACCTGACCCCCAACGCCCAGAGTTTCCCTATCCTCGTTAGAGATCTGCAGCACACATGAAAGCGAAACAGCAATTCAGCCTCCTCCTCTCTCTCTCTCTCTCTCTCTCTCTCTCTCTCTCTCTCTCTCTCTCTCTCTCTCTCTCTCTCTCTCTCACACACACACACACACACANCACACACACACACACACACACGCACACGCACACACGCACGCACACACGCACACACACGCAGAGGCACACAAGTGGCGAACACGATAAAACAGGGGAGAAGACAAGGGAAACAACGGCCGTATTGTCGCGTAAAAAACCTGAGCACGCTCGTCGTACCTGAGACGTCTGCTGTGAAAGAGGTGCAGACAGTGTCCTCTCTCCTTCATCTGCGCGAGCCCTGCTTTCGGCGGACATCAAGTGGCCATCTCCGGACGACACCAAAGCGTCTCCCTTCAACACATCGAACTTGTTCTCCTGCACTCGTCCACGTTCTCTAAGCTCTTCGTCCTCATCTGCCATGGCCGGGCGGGAAGAAGACAAATTGGACTGCTGCTGACCATAATCTGCCAAGTCGGATACGGCTGGCTCTGACCCAAGATCATGCTCCTCAGAGAAAGAGGCATTCCCATAACTCGGCCCGCTTCCAACATCACGCCCCCTGCCACCTTCCGCTGCCTTGACGGCGGACTCCACGGAATTCTCTACCGCGCTGTCATGACCAGACGTCGTCTCCATTTCGTTATCCGCGGGCGTGGGCGGAAGGACGGGGAACCCGGATCCATCTTGCCCCCTTGGTGCCTCTGAGAGGTGGGGTAAAAGGTTACTCCCGACAGCGCCCGTTGTCGCGGCGCCGCCACCTAGCCCTCCATCTGCAACGGCAGCCCCACCTACATTGAAAGTCGAGGCACTCTCGGAAGCAGCAGATTCAATTGGCGTCGAATCCATAGCTGACATGTCAGAGCAGCTGCTAGAAGGGCTGAGTGTTCTCGGCCTGTCATTTGATTGGCCATGTTGCGCCAATGCAGCGTTGAAAGCTACAGACCTTGCCGCAGAGCGCAACCGCCCAGCTGCAGACTGCTTCGCCGATGCCTTCTGCTTCTGAAACTCCTCCAGCTGCGAAAACGAATAAATCCAATATAGGCATCAATAGAAGCAATCACTGCAATCGAGCCAACGAATCAAGCAAAGAAATCAAAGCAATCTAAAATGTTAAAGCGAAGCACCACGATGAAGGCTTTCTGTACAGCTTTGTCTCTAGATGCCTTCTGCTTACGGAACTCGTGCAGTTGCAACACAACCCGCGCACGACTCAATCAACCAATCACTACAGTAAAGCCACCGAATCAATCGAAGCTGCCCTATCCCGCCAAAATCAATCAATCAAAATGGCCGTGGTTTACAGAACCTTCTCGCCGCAGGCAAAAAGGAGATGGAATGCATAAATGAAATTACGATGACCAAGAAAACGAGATGGAAGAACAAACAGAGTTAATCCTCCGTGAGGTAAAGAGCGGGCCAGATCACAGACAGGCAGACAATAGACAGCCACATACAGACTGACAAGCAGACAGGAAGACGGATAGACATAGAGACAGACGGACAGAGGGATACAGAGAGAGAGAGAGAGAGAGAGACAGCGTGACAGACAGAGAGAGGCAGAGACAGATGGACAGAGACAGGAGAGAAGGGGGAAGTGCCGAGCGGTGGAGTAGAAACTCCATGTGATTTATATTCTGACAGATTCTCCTATCCGTAAAGAGGCTCGCCCATGACTCCAGAGAGCAGGACGGGAGCCAGATGTGACAGATTAATACAACACATCATAATTTCCTTATTTTCCTTCGCCTAAAAGTGCTTGAACGCTTTCTGCTTCTGTTTTGTCGAGGGGCTAACATAATCTTGGACGAATCTGCTTGTATCTAGAGAACTACCGTACATATACGTCCTCTCAAATTTTCTTTTCTCGCGCCCACGCCATCTCTCTCTCTCTCTCTCTCTCTCTCTCTCTCTCTCTCTCAGAGAAGGGCGATCGCGACATGTTGTTGTCGCATGCAATGGGCAGGACGTGTATTCTGTGAGAGTAAAGCCTCGCGCGTATTGTCCAAATCGCAAGTGTTCTCTCTCTCTCTCTCTCTCTCTCTCTCTCTCTCTCTCTCTCTCTCTCTCTCTCTCTCTCTCTCCACACACACACACCTACCACGCGCGTACAAACGCACATGCACAACAATAATCATTTAGAAGAGCTAACAATTTCTCCGTTTCCGTACGTCTCCATGTTCGATGATGACCTACGAGGAAGCGAGTGGCGCGGAACAATAGAATCAAGCAAAGAAAAAACATGACCACGGCAACATCTTCGTTCGTTTCACCTGAAACGACTACAGGAGCAGTAGACTAAGTAGAATTGGCTAATTGATAGGATCGGCTCAATAGACTTTGATTCCATCACCACCGTAAGATTCATAACTACGTATTACCTCTGTTCATTTTACATTATTCAGCCGACGGTTAGGGCGCTTATGTGTGTGACCATGGAGATTAAGCACTCTGCGGCCGCCCACCCCCCAAAAGAAAAAATTCGAAACGATACTCTTTCGGTACTCGAACCCGCCGTTTATGTTTGCGGCTCTTGCGACGCACGAGGGCCATGCCTTCCGGAGGAGAGAGTACTTTGACGTCAACAACTACGTAGGCACCCCTCGTTTTCTAGCCCTGATATCACGAGCCGCATCTCCAGGAGCACCAGGAACAACACGATTGCTTCATTTTTCCGAGCGGATGGTTATTTTCCATAACAAAATAATTAACAATGATGATTTGCATTACTGAACTTTTGACGAAATGACGATTTACATACCGATTCCCGTTCTGATAAGAATGCTGCTGATGAAGAATCAAATTATGAACAGAGTAGACAAGTAAAAGAAGAATAGTGATAAGCAGAGGTCGTGAACTGTCATGCGCGCACGCTTCGCTACAAGTTTCATATACATCCGCATGCACTGAGCTCAAAAAGACGCGCTCGTTGCCCTACGCGTTTCGGCCAGGAACCCCACCTGGCACTCATTAGGGGCCTTCTCCCCAGATCCGATATGAACCCACCTAGTGCCAAGCCACTGAGAAAACGGCGGAGAAGATGAAGAAGACAAAGAAGAAGAAGAAGAGGTAGAAAACAAAGAAGAAGAAGACAAAGAAGAAGAAGAAGAGGTAGAAAACAAAGAAGAAAAAGAACAGGAGGAAACAAGAAGAAGACGAGCATAAGGAAGAAAAAGAAGAAGCACAGCGTAGTAGTGACAATCGGTGGCCAGAACTGCATTCCTATACATTTCTCAAGTATTCAATGAACTTCCGCATGCACAGCTCGCAGTAACGCGCACATTCCGCTACGCGTTTTCTCGACTAGCTGCGCACAAGTCCTCTTCAGGGGGCTAACCATTCGCCCTTTGAGCCTATGCCTACAAGACGAAAGAAGAGAGGGAAGAAGAAAGATGACGACTTACTAACCCAGAAGCCTGCCGTGCAAGAGGCCTAGTGTTAAGATGCATAGAGATCGTATAGAAGAACGACACAGCCGATAGGCGAGCAATTCCAACTACGGTGGCCATTCCCCGCCACTGTCTGCAGTCGTCGATCTTACGTCATCCGATGGCAGAGAAGCAACAGCATGACCTATTAAATAAGGGAGGCATATGGAAAACAGGAAGAGAAAGAGAGTGCAAAGACATGAAAACGAACCCAGGAAGTGAGACAGAAGGAGAGAGAGAGGAGGGAGGGAGAGAGGACCACGCCACAGTAAACGATGATGCCGTTTTCGCATCAGTCACCATACCAGACACCCACCATAGCGACGGTGCGCAGTTTTTAGCTGCCATACCACAACCACGTAACCTTATAAACTGCTGAATCACTACAGAAAGTACATATACATAGGCATGATCACGATGACAAAAGTATATACCCCCGACAACGATATCGAGTGAATAAAAGGAAGGCAACAGGAAGGGGAAAAGTGGGGTGCTGTGCGCAAATGCACATACCTTCTTACGACCGGCGCTGAGGAGCTCCGCCTTGAACTTGCCCTTATCCATTGATAAGAACTGTATCTCCGAAGTAATAATATTAATTCTCTATGCCCACACATGGAGGCACGCCCCACAAAGACCGATGGCCGGCAGCTTCGAGGAAACTTCAAAGGGAACGGATCGTCACCATCTATCTAATTATTATCGTTACAGACAGATGATAGTTGTTTTCCAGCCGAGGCCTCTTTTGCAAAGGTCAAATGGTCAGCCTCCACAACGCTACAGCGGCCCAGATAAGCTCTCCTAACACTCGCAATGTGCTGCTGATCACACAGGATCCGGACCCCGGTCTCTCTCTCTCTTCCCCTTCCTCCCGGAAACCAGCAGCCCGCGCGAAGCGCATCCATCACCTTCTCAGACAAATGCACATATACACCCCCCCCTACCCACCCACCTGTCTCCGCTAGCAATCCCTTCTCTCCGCGAATGTTCCTTATCGTCTCATCGAAAGCTTTCCCCGCCTTCCCTCTCACCGTTTTCTCTCCTTGCGCCTTCCTCCACCTCCTCCCCCGATGCCCCGCTCCTCTACCGCGCGCCCTTGGGTCCTCTCCTCCCTCTTCCTCCCCCTCCCCCCCCCGTGGCCTCTCCTGCTGAACGCAACGCACGGCAGACCACGGTAGGCGGGGAGGCTACTCCGCGCCCAAAGCCTCTCCTGCGAAGCACGGACGTCTGCTACGTGATGAGTTCAATTCCCCCCACGTCCGCAACGACTGCAATTATCCCAGCAGCAGGAGGTGCAACCGTGTCTACCCTTCGTCATTTCCACTTCAGGATAAAGCTTCGCTAATAAGAGAACGACCGCTGTGGATCCCCCCTCCCCCTCTCCTTCAAGACAATCCTCCCAGCCAAGAGAATGAACGACCTCTGACGATCTTCTCCCTCGGTTCCTGGTCCTATAACTCCATAACAAAGAGAACGAACGACCATAAGCGGCGCAGAAATACCTCATTCCACCCATACACATTCTGTACACGCTCGTTTATTCCAGTCATCGGATGGTCAAGATTCTATGAAAAAAGGGATACAAATGCGCGCTTGCTTTCCTCTACAACAACAACAAGATTCCCTCCTCGTCCTGTCTACCGCCGCCTGCGTCGTTCACGTGGGCAAGACTGGTATTTGCGAAGAACACGAGCCGTCGTCTAGTCCCTCAATTCACGCCCGTCGGAACCAACTTCTACCAATCTCACACCATCCTCCTCTGATACCGACGAACTCGTCATAGCCTGGAGCAGCAAGGGAAAACATGATGCGCGGGCGAACCACTCCACAATGGTTGACACGTGGCAATCTTCGTTATCATCATCATCCTCAGGCGCGAAATCGTTCACTCTGGGGACAACGATACACTTAGCCCGCGCGATTCAGGTTCCCTGTGAACCGTGCAATCACTGCTGGCGGCGCAGAGAGAAGGGTGTCGGGTTGCAAGCACACAGCGAGGCCAGCGCGCAGCCATGCACCCACGTGCGCATGTTTATTTGATAGGTAAAAGCCGGGGACCCACCACCGCGCTATTGCCTTCACTCACAGAGGACAAAACACCACCATAGTGTCGCCAATCAAGCAAGCAATCAAGCAATCAAGCAATCAAGCCGCAGCACCACATCAGTACATCACTGTCCTCGGCGATGACACGTGAAAGTTGGGAGACATTTACGTCAGTGACACTCGTTGTCAGGCATAACGAATGGAGCCAGTAAGGGGGCTCAGCCGCCGTGACGACAAAGGTCATCCAGTCCAATGCCTCTCTGACAAGAACATGTAATCTAGACCTGCAAATCGAATCGAAAACCCAACGACAGATCACCGTACTGGTCATCGACAATCCTGACAGCCCGGTCGTCTGTACGCGGTCGTCGGCTGGCACCTGATCTATCGTTCGCACCACCTCCACGTACGCACTTCATGCGAAAATCCTCCCGTTCCCTCGACCAAACCCGTCAACACCCCGTCAACCAAGCGCGCATGGTCGTGCCCGCGACTGCCGGCACTTGGCGCGCAGTGAATCGGGGACCGCCTCCCCCCGCTTCCTGGGCTGCTCGCGGCCCATTCCTTTCCGGCCCCAAGCTCATCAGGTCAGCGATAATGCCCCCGATGTTTTCTCTTTTTCCGAGCAGCTCTCCAGCTCTGGATTCCCGACGCATCAGGCTTGGATCCCACAGTGCGTTTTCAAGAAAAAGTCGTGTCCGCGCCAACCGGTTCGTAAGAACGAATTTGGATCCCATAGTCCCGACCGGGAAGGCACTTGCCGACATGCACTCCCTCCCAACTGATAGACCGCGCCAGGCGCGGTAGCGCAGCCAAGGGAACACCGGGGGCCAGGCAGAGGAAGAGCAGGTGAGGGGCAGCGGAACAGAAACGGCCTGCGAAACCAAGAGATGGGCGGGCCCAGTTGTGGAGGAGCCGCAGCGGGACGGAAAGTAGGGGGTCCCTCGGCTGTAAGGTGTGCGAGCTACGCGGGGCCGGGTGCGCGATATCTGCAGGGCATGTCTGAAAGGCCTGGAGCTGCGGAGCACAAAATCAAGTATGTATTTTTTTTATTTTTTTTTTATTTTTATTTTTATTTTTTTACAAACAAACAGCTCCATCTATTGGTGGGGAGCAACACCTCCTGGAAACCGGGTCCAGCGTCCCATAGATACAACCATATCCTGTTAATTTGGCACAAACTGGGAATCGGGCCCAGCATCCCATCATCAGGAAATTTCATGAATTTCGACAAGGAACTATTGACTTACCGTGAGGGCACAGGTGCGCAGCCCGTAGTTTGTATACGCTTGATTGATGAGAGAGAGAGAGAGAGAGAGATGGCACGGAACAAATCTAGATGGCATGCAGACAACCGGGGTCCAGGGGTCCACACCATTTCAGATTCGAATTTCAAGGCCCTGCGGCCCCCACGCCGTTTCAGGCCTGGGTCCACCGTTTTAGATTCGAATTTCAAGGCCCTGCGGCCCCCACGCCGTTTCAGGCCTGGGTCCACCGTTTCAAATTCGAATTTGAAGGCCCTGCGCCCAGCACACCGTTTCAATTTTTTTTGGACCGTGGGGTTTCCAGGAAAACGCCAAGGACAGCTACCAATTCTGGATTTGCTTGCACTGCCGCCCCCCCAAATGTCAGTGTCTTTCATTTTACCAGCCTTTGAACAACCAATGGGCCCGAATGAATGACTGGTTTCGGATTTGTTTGTCGTTGCCTTCGCCCCCTGTAACATGCAAGTGACAGTTAAATAAAGATTAGGTGTTATTTTTGAATAAAAGAAAATTTTGTTTTTGTGTGTATACATATGTGTGTGTTTGTGAGAGAAAAGAGGTAGTCTTGTAGCATGGAGCATTTTAGTGTTGTGGAACATTAGGACATACTTTTATTGGTATGATATTTAGGATGTTTGTGTTTGTCGGTTGAGGATGTTTCTAATGTGTTCTAAAAGTTTTGGTTATTTGTGGCGGGGTGGTGGTTATAGTGTGTGTGTATGTGTGTTTGTGTGTGTGAGAGAGAGAGAAAGAGAGAGGGAGAGAGAGAGAGAGGGTGAGAGAGATTTAGAGGTAAAGAGAGCATGAGCATGTGAGCGGTGTTTAGCACATGGCCAATTGATATTTTTTATAAAGTAGATGTGGTGGAGAGGTGGTTGTAGTGTAAGGGTGTGGGTGTATGTGTGTGTGTATATGTGTTTGTGAGACAGAGAGTGAGAGAGATAAAAATGACAGTTATATCAAGAGTAGGTGTTATTTTTGAATAGAAGATTTTTTTTGTGTGTGTATATGTATGTGTGTGTGTGTGTGAGAGAGAGAGGTAGTTTTGTAGCATGGAGCATTTTAGTGTTGTGGAATATTAGGATTGACTTTTATTTTGAATTAAGAAGAAAGTGAAGAGAGAGAGAGAGGGCGAGAGAGAGAGAGAGGGGGGAGGAGAGAGATTTAGAGGTAAAGAGAGTGTGCAAGTCCTTGGTGCATTTCATTTGGCTATAGTAATCATCCCTTTGGTTGTTTTAGAAGTTTTTGTGAATGGTTTGTTGATGTTATTGAAGGAATAATTTTTGTTGGGTTTCTGCACCAATAGATATGGTAGGAGAATGTTATGAAAGGTGTGTGTGTTTGTGTGTGTGTGAGAGAGAGAAAGATAGAGGGAGAGAGAGAGAGGGGATGAAAGAGATTTAGAGGTAGAGAGAGCATGTAGCATATGAGCGTTGTTTAGCACAAGGGCAATTGATATTTTTGATAAAGTAGATGTGGTGGAGAGGTTGTTGTAGTGTGAGGCTGTGGGTGTATGTGTGTGTGTGTTTGTGTGTTTGTGAAATTGTGTGTGTGTGTGTGTGTGTGTGTGTGTGTGTGAGAGAAAGAGAAAGAGAGAGGGTTGAAAGAGACAGAGGGTGTGAGAAAGGGAGAAAGAAATATTATAGCATGCAGCTTGTCAATGATGTTTATGGCTGAATGGATAAAAGTTTTTAACATACCTTGATTTATTGTTGGTGTTGAGGTTAGTGGTCCTTGAATCTTGATCCAGAAGTCGTATATGTTTGTGCTTGAATGTTATATATATTTTTTGTGAATTAATGAATTGATTATGTTTGACAAAGTAGATGAGTTGGAGAGACAGTTGTAGTGTGTGGATGTGGTGTAATTTCATTAAGGGTTAGGCAACATAAGATGTCGAAGCATGACAAGGATAAAAATGTCACAATCGTATGAATTAGTTTGTTGGGGTCCTTGTAAGATTGTCGTAGGTGCATTTTGTAGCAGGCTTAAACAATCTGTACGAGTGGATAACCATTGTTTGATGTTTGAAAAAAATATTGTATTAGTATTGGAAAGACTATCATAATAATATATATTGTGTGTTTGGAGGTTCAAACATCCAAGTGCCCAATGATTGTTGTTTATATTTATTGGAATGAAGAAATGAGTGAGCGTTGTGAATGGTCGAAGTTTATTTTTTCTATTAATTTGACGATCAACACAAGCGTAATCATGTGTTGTTATTCCTTGGTTGTATTTGAATATATTTGCAATGAAAATAGTTGTGGTTTTATTCATTATTAGTTCGACATAACTATTTGTGGGTATATCTGTGAGTCAGAAGTGATCATGTAAAGTAATGTATAAACATAATTCTGAATCGATTAGAATTGGAATGATGTTTTCATCATCTGAATTTGCATTTGTTAGTTCTGTATCAGATAAAGATGGACTGAAAAGGATTGATTGTGTAGTT